AATGCACATTAGATAACTAATTTTCAATCCCATGGAGTTTGTGTTTTATACTCTTGTGATGTTTGCTTGTTTGTTTTATCTAGAAGAGTCTAAGGCCAAAAGTGAATAACCTATTACCAATTTTTCAATCAAGAATTGATTGTCCATTGAAGTCTTAATTGCTGTTCATGTTAAAAGAATAATGAGGTCAAGTTAAGTATAGAGAGTGATTTTTCGGCATCAGAATTGCAACTTTCCTTATATAACTTCACTTCTTATAGAATGAGTAAGGAATAAATGAACTTTTACAGTGTTTTGAAGTGATATGTCCATGAGTCCATTCTATTGGTGAGGTTGGCAGTTTTAACTAACTATAAACTTAAACATTTTGGGATGCATATAGATTGCAATTGGCTTGTGAAAATGTTTAGCACTGAAGCAATAGCAACTTGTATATACTCTGAAGAGATTAAAAAAAAATTCGAGTCATTTTGTAAATATGGAATTGTCCATGGTTTTACTGAAATTCTGTTTAGGTTATCTCATAGGTTTTCTAAAATCCATAAAATACGGCTACCCTCTTGTGGGTCCCCTCCTGCTGCAGGAGCTTTTCTGTCTTCTTAATAAACTCCTACTTTCCTAAAGGAGGTGTAAACATTTCACTCGGGAAAGTAATCAAGTACTTGGTTTCTGTATTAAGTATACTTAAATAAAGTCAGCAATTCTACCTCAGAAAATTTCGATTTCATGGGAGGGAATAAAAGACAAAATTAGAGAATTATCAGTGTACCTCACGTGGAAAAAAATATTGAAGTTTAAATTAGAAGCAAAGTTGAGTGTTAATATATTTGAGAACGTAAGGAAATGTTCTTGTTGAGCCCATTTGATTGTATACCCACCTCACTAACGCAGTTAACTTTGATGATGATGTGTTTGCTTGTCAAGGCCAGTTTGGAGTATTAATGAAACCTAAACAAGAAAGTGCTTCCAGTTTTATATAAGGAATATGACATTGGCTGCTATCTAAGCACAGATGATATTTATAGGAAGGAATGAAGCAGTGAAGATTGATTCATTTTAGGAAAGCTGGATAGTGTTTATTTAATCACCTCATCCCCACCCCCTCAAATGTGTGGCTCCTACACACAGTCCTTCCTGTCATAAAGCACCTAGTATGTAACACTACTTCTTTTTCAAACTTTCTTGCTCTATCTTTTCTGAATTATATTTACCCACATCCAAATTTCTCATTTTTCCCATAGTAGTTTCAATTTGCAGCTGCTTCCTGTTCTAAAGTGTTTCATCTCTTCTCAACTGACAGTGTCCCTGCCCCTCTCTATTTTTAATCGTCTATATTTCTCCATCTGTTTTTCTCTTTCTCACGTTCACATACACTATCCATAAACTCCCATATTCCCTGTGTTGCTTGGCCTCTGAATCACAGCTTTTAAAATCACAACATCTGATAAAGATAGTAATAAATGTATATTTCCCAATAAATTATATGGTCAAACTCCATTAGATAAAGTCCTTTATTATGGGATTAATGTATGTGTGGGGCTTTATTGTTGTATTTTACGTGGGGAAAGGGATTTTCAGAGTTGAGAAAAATAGTTCACCTCCATTATGTAATATGAGATACTGATCTATTTCCAAAAAGCAGTAGTCAAGTCACTTTCATAAAAAGAAGTTCTACAAAATGTTTCCTTGACAAATGTAGATAGGAAATTTTTTGAGTGACAGTAAAGTCCCCAAATGTGAGTGAGAAAGTACATATATTTAAACATTGTATAGCAAGAGCACCTTTTTAAAGAAAAGGGCATGATGAAACAACATTTATCTTAGTTTTCAAATCTAGACCTGGTTTGGCAAATGATATGCATTTTCATTATTATTAGACAAAATAATAATATCATCATAGAGAACTAGAAGAGATCTTTCACTTAGTTTAGTCTTATCACTTCAGTTTTTTCTATGGGAATATCACTCAACCCAGTTCGTTATAAAAAAGTCATGCAAGGTTTTGTGATAACTATAGAACAAGCGTATGATATGACAGATTTTTTTTAACCTGTCTTGAACTTCTTTTGTCTCCTTCGTTGACCCACTGATTTTGAAATGGGGTTATTTTACATAGATCTTTGTCAGGGCTTTCTAAAATCATCCCTCAGTAACAATTGATAATGCACAGTCATTGTCATAGTACCATGTAATAGTTATGAAATGATATCTTTCTTCCTCATTATATATGAGTTACTTCATTATTTAGTGACAACCACATAATAAACCTCTTCTTCTATGACAGATGGAGAAAACACTTTGATCTCAACCTTAAGTCTCCAATGAAAATAAATTATTTGATCATTTTTAGTATTTTTAATAATTCTCAGAAAAACAAAGTGTAATTTTAATGTCATTCTAGTTTATGAAAGACTAGAAACTTAAAAATTTTCATGACTTTGAATTTTATTCATTTCACTATTCTGCACTTTGATTGGCTTCATGTGTGCCAAGGCTACCACCCAGGCTACAGAAGTTGTAAACAGTGGAAAATACATATGGCTAATGAATCCTACTTTGGGATGTGTAAAAGGTCAATGTTCTACAGTTTATTATTATCATGTAGAGAATATACAGGACATTAAAATTATGTCCTGTATTGTGACAAAAAATATAATAAGAACTATACATGATAAACAGTACAGCATGAATCTTCTTGTGACAATGACTATAACTTAGAATAAGAAATACTTAACCCATTCCCATTACTGTCAGAAGAAAGGGCTACTTTGTCAATGCTTATCACTTCCTTTTGTATTTAGAAGCTATTTAAGCCATGGGTAATAAAGAGAACGAGTATATGGTCAAGAGTGTTAAATACTATTCCAAAATGAATAGTATGTCAGACTGGTGTAGGATTAATATTGGTCTATAATCCACAATAATAATTTTTAAATAACTATTTTAAGACAATTCATCTGCTTAATAGTAGATTTTTTGCTTTCAGTGAGAAAAAGGTCATATGTGATAACAAAGTAATACAGCTTTTCCATACAGAAACCATGAATAAGCAAGCATATTTGAATTTCACTTGCATTTAACAGCAGTATTCAATCCTTTGATACTCACATCCACTAAAACCTGTTATATAAGCACACAACTCTTCCTAAACTAAAGAAAACATATTTATCCTGCACCATAGAGGTTTAAAAAAATAAGTACAATGCCTCAGTTTGCTAATAGGTAGTCTTTGTTGCTTCCAATAGGCTTTCAGTGTTTAGAAATGACATAGAAAATAAAAAAATCCACAGAAGGTGTTAAGAAAGAGGACAGAGGGTTGAAAATGAGTCAACTGTTTTGGTGTCACTTTCTTGTTCTAGTGAACTTGCCATGGACTGCTTTAATTAATTGCAAGTAAAGTCTTTCTCAGTGTTGATCTGAGCTACTTAACTCCCTTTGAAAAGGAAAATGGTTTCTGTCCTGCTGTCACTTACCACACCTTTTGCCAACTCTCTAGAGATGCATCACTGCCATTGACACAACAACTTGATTTCTTGTCAAAATATCTTTTAACATCTGGCTCAAAAGATATTTTTGATGACTGTAAGCATGCCGAACTTCTCTGTTCATTAAAGCTGAAAATTCAATAAGTGTTTGCTACACTGGGATTAAGCTACCTCATAGTGAGCAGCTGTCAAATGATTTGCTGAATACTTCTGCTCAAACCACCACAGTGAATTGACGGAATCATGCAAACTTCAGGACATACACAGAGTGAAGGAAACTCTATCAAGCACTATCCAGATGTCTCTACTAAGTCTTGCACTACTATCTGTACATTTAGAGTGACCTATTTTAAAATAAACAGAGAAAAAGAAACCTGATGAATCCATGTGTCCTCACCAGAGTAGCAAAAAAGACCCATTATTGATGCTAAAAACACGTTAATGGTTTTGCTCATAAGGTGTCTTTTAGATCTGTAATTTTTGTCAGCCTCGACCTGACTGTTTATATTGCCTACACCATCAGCCTTGAATGTGAAAAATGCAATTTGAAGGATTGCTCTAGAGACAATTCTAATTTAGTGGTTGTTCATATACAATAACATTAAGTTGTAGAGCACTCTACTATATAATGAATTAAGTCATACAGCAGTCAAAATGTTCATCCTTCCATCTTGCATGCTGTGCCTGTATTTTTGTTACTTGAAATTGCAAAAATAATATCTCAGAACTATCATCATAATGGGGTCCTGTAGTGAATTATGAGAAGTACCAACACAGAAGAATCTGAGAAAATAAGTCCACATGAGTAAAATATTTCATTTTCATTTAAAAGTTCTGAGCATATAGTAACTGTTTGAACAATGGGTGAAGGGATCAGCCATGTTCCACCTTGATTTTGGACTCTTAATGAGCCAATCTTATACAAATATACTATATACTCAGCAATAGTGAAAGGAGGAGAGGAAAACACAAGTTCACTTTGAAGCAGTGTTCTAAGAAGGCTCTTATTACTCTCACCTCGGTCTCTTCTGGCTTCTTCTATTGTTTGTACATTTTCCCCTATTATCTGAACTTTGGGCTGCCTTTATGGACCTTATATTAATTCAGCCACCCGGTTCTGAGCAACCCTTATAAATAACCTTAGGTATGTATAAATTCCCCACCCTAGACTTAACCTAACAAGAATCCAACTGGTCCTCTCTCTAGTCACACTACAAAACAACTCAATAGAAAACACTAAAGGGATTTTACTAAGCTATTTAGAAAACACTGACAGGTTTGTTTCTGCTTTAATTACCTTAAGGGTAGAAAGAAATCTAAGATTTAGGCTCCTGGCGTGGCATTTAAATAATAATTCACAATATTTCAAACATTGTAATCTTTATTGAGTCTCCAAATATGCAAGCCACATTAGTGCTAAACAATGTGAGAAGCTATGATGCTTCAAATATAAAAGCAAAAATGAGTAACTTTCACCTCTTCCCCCACCCGTTTATTTTTTCTTCTTTTTTGCCTTCAGTTGTGCTCTCTGTTTGAGGATGCAGGGGCAGGCATTCCCCCAGAACAGAAATGGGTAAAATAAGAAGGTAGTGGAGGACCAAATATCAGGGGAGGAGCAAAAGCAATAGGCATAGCAAGACATGGATTGAAATTCAGAGGTCGAGGAGGTATGAAACAATGAGCAGTAGAGCAAGAAGGTAAACCTGGGGTACTGGAAGACAAAGGTATAGGCCTTGGCCAATTATCCACACGGTGTCGTGGGTCCCCAAGTGGGAAAGAAACACAAGCCAGCCTTCCTTTACAGGCCATTCTAGTGTTTCCTGAAGGCAGCTCCATCATTATCCCCGATCTAAGAGTGGGGATATGTGGGGGGGCTCTTACTTGTGGGCCCCTGGCTGGAAAGAACCCTTTACCTTGTGGCAAAGTCACATATAGCTTTGCATTATTGCCAGCTCTCTCAGTGCTCCCACTGCTGACCCATGTGCCTCCTACCATCAGTGCAGGAGGGCTGCCAGAGATCTCCTGGGACACATTAATAGAATCTTGTCCCTTCTGCCTGTGACTTGCCAACCCCTCAGAGCTATTTACTTTTACTGTTGCTAGGGACTCTTCTGCAACAGCAGGTGGTGGCACATAGAGATGTCTGAGAGCTCTCGAACTATTGACAGGAATGTAGGATCCTGTTCTCTTAGAGGGACGCTCCAGTTGCTGTCTTTCCAGATCGGTCAGCCCATTGACAGGAGGTCTCAGCGGGACGTGAGGGTGGCCCCAGGTCTCTGCATTGTTCTTCAGCATGGAAGTCGGACATTGCAGGGGAATGTTGCAGCACAGCTCCCGGTTCCCATTTTTGTCCACAGCTACCACTATAGATGAAGGGGCATGGTCTCCAAGGCTTGCGAAAACAAAAATCAAAAAGCTAATAAAAACGGAAATGCAGTGTCCAGAAAATATCTAAAATGTTATTGACTGAACTCACTGAAATATACCAGAAAAAAAAGAGTGGCCTCCCTCCCCCACATGTAGCCAAACGAATAATTTCTCAGACTATCAACATTTCCCAGGTGGTTTTAGCACAAGGCTATATGATTGCTTATCATGGTTGCCTAGTGACCCTACTCCATTCCTCATTCCCCAACTTCCACAAGGCATCAAGGAAGCCTAGAAGACTCAGATAGCTTAATAATAGGCATATAATAGAAAATACCAGTTCTTGCAAGTCCCTGTAGGATCTATGATTCAGTAAACCTGGCATTCAGATTCTGGTATGAGTGTTCTGAAAGTCTTATGAGAAGAAACATACTTGTCTCCATAGAAGTCAAAGAAAGGTTAGTTATGCTAACAAACACTCCAGTTCCTCTTTTTGAAGCGTGATTCAACATTCATGCCAAATTTTGTTAAAATTTCCTTTCATTCAACCTATATCACACCCCAGAGTAAGAATTTCCTCATGTTTAAGCCTCAGTGCTTAGACAAGGGGTTTGCAACTTTTATTTCAAAATTCCATTTCAAAGCGGCCTCTCTTAGATACAGGATTCTTAGTGCCTAAGTTTATATTCTTAAAATTTTACCTGTGATCCCTTCCTACACCTTCTCCAACCCACTCATTCCTGTGTCAGTTACACAGTAAAGCATTTCAAACTGCTTTTTCCTTCAAAATTAAACAGTTTTACTAGGTTTTGTACTTACACATTTTCAGTACAAGCCATGGAGAAATTTAATCAGGATGGCCTTCGTGAAGTGGTGGAGAAAATCAGCTGAACGCCCACACAGGCCAAGTTAGTCTGGAGATATGTCTTGCGCTTCTGCCTTAGAGAGGCTTGGCAACTCAAATGAAGTCAGGGACCAACTGCTTCTTTCTAGATTTAGAGTTCTCTTTCTGGGGTTACCAGTTGCTAGGGAAGGGAGGGAGTAAAGGAATTGGGAGGGGGAAATGAATCTGTGACACTCCTTTGAAGCTAAAAGTGGGACTGCTTTTTGCACAAGAGTAGATGGATAGTAAAGATATTTACTACATTAATGCTGCTGCAGGTCAGTTGAAAAGACAAATCATTTCAAGAATGATTTAGAAGTCATGAAGGCATGATATTTTGCTAAGAACTGTTTCTGAAGTTTTAGTTATTAAAGGTAGTTGTCAAGTCTCTTTCTCACATTTGGAAATATAAACATCGAACAGAGTACCATGCTTAATTTTATAAATTACCATTTTGGGAGAATGCATGTTATTAACTTGATGGAAAATAGAAGTTTGGGGAGTTATATTGTTTTTTAATCTATGAGTATGAAGCAGAAATAGCACTGTAAAAATTCCTCAAATTATCTCATTTTTTATTTTTTAGTCCCTCAATTGACAGTTCTTTCTTTCATTCTGCCTACTAGTTTATCAGCTTTGTGTGTGTGTATATATGTTCTGTAGTAGAGTTGAGAAAATTTCTCTTAGGTGGGGAGAGGGAGATAAAAGGCACAGCAAGTATCATAACTTTATGAATATTAGCTCAGATTTTGTCTTGCAATTTTTTTGCACAAAGAACTTTGCTCTGGAGTTACAATGATCATCCCCTCATCCAAAATTACTAATGTTGCTCCTGGACAAATTCATGAACTTGGCTCACCTCCTTTAATTTACCTATGTTTTTTGCTATGATACTAGACCTTGAAGATAACATTTTCTTTATTCTCAACATCAGTATTGTGCTACAGTAGATGCTGCTGCAGTTCAACAGTAATACATATCTGTTTTTTCTTTCTTTTTTTTTTTTAATTGGAGTCTCACTAGGTCACCCAGACTAGAGTGCAGTGGCCGCTCCCAGCCACCGCAGCCTCGACCTGCTGGGCTCCGGCGATCCTTCCGCCTCAGCCTTCCAAGTAGCTGGAACTACAGGCGTGCGCTACTATGCCCAGCTGATTTTTTGATTTATTGTAGAGATGAGGTCTCGCTGCCCAGGCGGGTCTTGAACCCGCGGGCTCAGGCAATCCACTCACCTTAGCCTCCCAAAGGCACGGGATTACAGGCTGAGCCACGGAGCCCGGCTTATTTTTTCTTAAGAAAAATTGACAGTCTCAAAACACGTGTTTCAACTTATAGAAACATGATGTGTGTATGTGTGTATTTTGTGTGTGTGTGTGTGTGTGTGTGTGTGTGTGTGTGTGTGTGTGGAAGGGAAAGATAGAGAGAAAGGGACTGAGGGAATAATGCAAAAGTACAAGATACTAATGCAAAGCAACAAAATTCATGATGGAAATGACCTTTTGCCTCTCCAAGTCCATATCTTCCTTCCAGGATGCCTTGTCTCCATTTATACACAGCTGAGTGTTTTTATCTCATTGAAAGTTGAAAACTGCATGCTTCAAGTATGTTTCCCAGCGGAATCTACTCACTTGCCTAACACCGTTCACTGTTAAGAAACTTTTTGATTTCTAAGCTTCAGTTTCTATTCTTACTTCAGTTTATTATAATTTTGTTCCTATGTAAAATCTAACTTATTATTAGCAATATAATTGTGGTGGAGTGTTAAAGACCTTTAGTACTTGCCATATCAGAGAAAAATATTGCATCTTGGTTTAATGCCTGCTAATAATTGGCAAGTCATATTTGCATAAATTGTTTATGTATAATAGTTTGTATTTTTTCTGAATAATAGCAATGAAGACCTAGGAAACTCTTAATGCCTACCAAATGATTGCAATGATGGAATATTTTAACCTAGAAATACCTGTTTAGTAAGATAAAATTTTAATTGGATCACATAAGGGTGAAGTATAATATAGGGACCAAATCTGGGGACAATGACAATACCCATGACACCCAAGAACTTTCCAAAACGATAATATGTATTATGCATTTATGGATATTAGCTTAAATTTTGTCTTTAACTTGTTATAGTTTGTGCAGATAATGTATATTTATTGAATTCTTACTACATGCATTTATTGTTGAGTTAAATGTGGATTTTACCAGAAAAATTATGCAATCCAAAAAAACTTCAAGGAATATTCCAATATTTTCTAGGAGACAAAATAAGATCTAAAAATTATCAGAGAATGGCATTAAAAAATAGACACAGGCTATTAGGTGCATGGTATAAGCTAAGACCACAATGAAAACTCAGAAAAACTAATTATAATTGTGGTTCAAGTAGTTGTGACTTATTTCATGTGGGGTTAACATTTCAGTTGTGCTTTGAAGGATAGATACAATATACATGGGAAGAGGAAGAGATAATATTTTATGCAAAGAACAGTTATGGAAATAGGGGTAAAGGAAAAAATATTTGGGATATTTTTGTAGTTGAGGTTTTAATCTAAGCTAAGGTTCATATTTGGCAGAAATAAAAATATAAAGAGCTGAAAGACCCTCTAAAAATAGAGATCAATCATATAATTACTAAAGTTGTACCCATAAACATTTTAAATTTTAAACTTTAAAGTTAAAGAAGACTAGAATCATCTCAAAACCTACCTTTTGAAAAAAAAGGTGTCAGACTAAGTCAATTATGAAAATGACGCAATAAAGTACACACTTTATTCTTTTGCTTGTTTAAATGACTATTTTGGGAAGGGGCAGATGGGTAAAGGAGATTACAGATTTTACCAAAAAGCTTCGTTGTGAACGCAGTAATCTTAGTCCATTTTCTGCTGCTATAACAGAATACCTAAGACTGGGAAATTTATAAAGAAAATAAATGTATCTTTCACAGTATTGGAGTTCGATGTCAAGGAGTTTGCATCCAGTGAGGGCCTTCTTGCTATGTCACACCATGGTGCAAGGCTGAAGGACAATAGAGTAAGAAGGAGCAAACAAAGCAAGGCTTAACTCACTGCTATACCAAATCACTCTAGCAATACTGAATCCACTCCAACCATAACTGCATTAATCCAATTTTTAGGTTAGAGCCCTGATGGTGAATAATTTCTTAATAGTACCTACTCTTTTTCTTCCCTCTTCTCCACTCTGTCACAACTCTTAATATTATTGCAATGGCAATTAAATTTCAACCTGAGTTTTGGAGGGAGCATTTAAATTATAACAGCAGTTAAGATGTAAAAGCTTTTCATTATCATGGACACTCTTTACATGGCACAGATCCAGATATCACTGATATGTCTCTCAAAAAGTTCTGTTGACTATATTGAAGTGCTCAGTAAGAACTATCCAATGATATACTTACCTCTGCACAGCAGTAATAAGGTTATTTGTGATTGCTGGGCATGACAACTCTTGCCTGTAATCTCAGTTATTCAGTAGGCTGAGCCAGGAGGATAACTTGAGTCTAGGAGTTCAAGACTAGCCTGGGCAACATAGGGAGACTCCCATATCAAAAAATAAAAAAAAAAATGTGATTGATCTGCCACCATCACGTTGTTGTGGGTTTTTTCCAAAGAAATGTTACAGATGTATATGCACAGGCAAAGTGTCTTTTAAAAATATGTGAGGGGGGCAACTCCTTTGTGTCCCCTCCCACTGTGGGAGCTTTTCTGTCCTCTCAATAAATCCTGTTTTCAAAAAAATAATAATAATAATGAGGGAGTACCCAAGAAAAAACTGGAATGATCTTTTTGAGGGCTGGCCCCTTGTAGTACAAGCAGAATTTGTTGCTCTAAATCAAACGGTCAGCCAAAGTGTTTATCTGGATGTTTTGAGAAGATGGTGTCATGATTGGTGGAAGAAACATCTTGAGCTGTGTTTAAAAAGTAACTGGTTTTTCCTCCATGGTAACACACGTGCCACACCATGCTGAATGTTGAGCAGTTTTTGACTAAAAACAACATGACCCTCATGTCCCATCCTCCCTATTCACCTGATCGTGCTCTGAATAACATTTTGTTGTGTTTTTGTTTCCCTGGATGTAAAAATTCCTCAAAGGGAAATGTTGCCAAATGTGTTCACCATAAGAGGTGAAACAAAAAATAACAGAAACACTAAAAGGCATCAAAATTGATGAGTTCAAAAACTCTTTTCAGCAGTGGAAAAAGTGTCTTTATAGATGTATTGCATCAAACAAAGTGTATTTTGAAAGTGACTGAAGTTTAAACATGTAAGAATAAATACACAATGTTTTATAAATAAATTCCTGTTTTGGGGGGTTCCCCTTGTACATCATTTCTGTTTTGCTTAGAATAAGAATTGAGCAGATACAGACCTATGAATAAATTTATCTGTTTTTAATGAGGAAATTGTCATGTTGATTTCTGGGTAGACAGACGTCAGAAAATTCTATCCTTTAACTCACTTTCAAAATATAGCATAGTTATGATCATGGAAAGCTATCTAAGTTTAGAATGTCTAAAAAGGACTTCTAGATGATAGATCAGATAATTTTAGCAGTCTGTAGCCATTTAATTCAAGTGTATTAAATCGTGGGACTCATGAGGGCATGATATTATCCCATAATCGGCCAGGCAGCATTATTCTATTACACAGTTATAGACAGTAGTCCTGTGCTTTCTGCCACCAGCTGTCCTGCAAATTCTGTGTGGTAATTGATGTGGATGAACAGGTGAGAGCGTCGCTATTTCATCACTAGCACTGGCAAAAGCAACGAACAATACCTCACTGCTAGACCTATTTGTAAAAAGTTCAATAGACGATAATTGTTCTTGATTTTTTTGCTTCAGATTTAAAAACAAATATAATTTAACTCATATATACATACAGATATAGATATGGATATAGACATAGCTATAGATATATACCGTGTGTGTGTGTGTG